GGGGAGGAAGGGGGCCTCCGCAGCCTGCCGTTTACTGGCAGACAGAGGGCATGGGGCAGGGAATGGGATGGGCCTACCTGAGGACCTTGGGCCTGAACCTGCTGCGTTCTCCCCTTTGCTGTATGAAGCAGAGAAGAGCCAGGCTCTCGTTGTGCACACTTAAGGCAGGGAGGAAGTAATTCCCCACCGAGATGGTGCGGCCTAAGGTGCCATGACCAGTGAGACCAGCTGCTCCTCCACCCCACAGAGAAGCGCTAGCTGGGCAGAAAGACCAAGTTACTAGTTCAAGGTCACACGCTAGTGGCTGGTAGAGGGAATGCCAACCCAGATGGGTCTGGCTTAACACCTTCAGCCCTTCCTGGGAATAAACCTTTCTCACTATGGCACTTTCTTTGTTTTGAGCATGAAGAAAAATGTACTAGATTCACAGTGGCAGGGGTTTGGGAATCGGATTTCTCTTATTTGCATATATTGCCCAGGGATTTGACTGTAGATGGAAAGATAAAGAGAGAGGGGAAAGCCCAGACACCAGCCCCGGCCACTGAAGTGAACCCATGCTTAAAAGGAGGTAGTCCCGTGGGATTTTTCCAATGCTTCATCCTTCACTTTTCACCCTTCCTTACTCTGAGATGACTTGATGTTATCTGACAGCTCATTTCATTGGTTCCAGTAAATTATACATGAAGAAATCAATTGACTTGAAAAATTAGGATGCTGACCTATATTACTATATGTATATTATTATTTATGAATTATGTAGAAGCAAAGCTAAGAATTGCTGCCTGGAAAGAAAATTGGTATATCATATCTGAGATCTAGAGTTCTTCATCAGCAGCTTTTAAGTTAAAAGGGGGGAATATTACTTATTATCATTATTATTATCTGTACTTAAAGAAAAATATTTTGGTCAGTGGCTGTTCTGAGTGGTTTTTGTATTTCTTTCAGATGTCGCCCATTTAATGTGGTTTGAAAGACTCTATGTTTGGCTTCAGTGTTTTGAAAAGTATATCTTGTACCCAGCAGTAATTTTGAATGCCCTCACTATTGATGCATTCTCAATAAGCAATCACCGGAGACTTGGTACTCAGTAAGTGGATAATGGTTTAGTTTCATAATGATTTGGGTCACATTTTCAACATCTAGTGGATGTTTTTCTAAACAGACTGCAGAAGAAGCCAACCTCTACCTGCTGTTATTGGCCGTGCAAATGTAAGCCATGGTGGTCTTTTACCGAGACCCACCAGAGCTAGATGGTTATTGCAGAGTGACCAGGGTGCAAATGGAGTTAGATCTGCTTGAAGTGATGTTGTGAATAAGTGTCAGCAGATTTGAAAATCATCCTGCAAAAGCTCAGTCAGTGAGCCTTAATAAGAAGACGGAAGCACAGTGTGAATCCGGGATTCCTGGAGTTCTTACCACAATGCTTAAAGCTTTATGAACGGCCTCATGTCATTTCATTTAGCAAATACTCTATCATTTTGTGCTTGGAGGGAGGGGGGAATTAATCACTGTCACTGTTTTCTCTGCATTTATCAAGAGAAGCCTGATCATTTAAAAGCTGGCACAGAGACTTCATACTGTCAAGATGCCCGTGTTTTTCAAAGCATTAACAATGTACAGTTGGGTACTGATTTCATGTATTAAAATTAATTATGAGTTTACAAATGGAAATCTCCTTGATAATCTGTGGATTTGTCATTCTAATGAGAGGTGAAAGTTGCTGGTCAAATAAGTTGTAAGAGCAGGATATATGAAAGAGATTCTTTCTCAGATTTGCTTAATCTGGGAAAGTTACATTGCTTAAACACTTTGTGTCCAAGTCAACCCTGATGCATAACCCCAAGCATACTAATTCTAACCTGCTCTTCCTTTCAGGGTGTGATGAGGACAAATTAATTAATATTCACCAAAGATTGAACAAGCCATGATAAAAGGCATTTTAATACTCTGTGGGACTTTGAGTAGATTCATCGTCACACAAAGCAGACATGAAATGAAATGCTCCCATAACCTTTCTTTCTTTTTGGATTCTGTCTTCCTTCTAGTCCAGACCTGTTTCGGTTAGATCAAGACAAAAATTCTATGCCCTTATTGGTACTTAAAATTCTAGACTTGAGATCCAGGCATGAAAATTAGTCTCACTGGTTATTTGTTTGTTTGTTTTTTAAAAAGCAGACAATGGACCTTCAGACCCTTGTGGGATCCAATCTAGAAGATGGCTCTACCTCTAGGTCAACATATATTTCTCTGGTGGTAGGGATTCCCAGTATGGTACAATCCTGGTTGATCCCATAACTACTTCTCAGAACAGGGCAGAGCCTCAATTTCTAGAATGAGGGCATACAATCAAAGCAGAGTAGCAAAGAAGGTACCAGTGGGGAGTCCAGTGGAAGGATTTAAAGTTCTCCCTGTCCAACTTCAGAACGAGGACCTTGAGCTAATAAGCCTGTGGGTTGAGGCCAACCTGTCAGAGAAGATAGATACAAGGGCTAGGACTCCAGCAGAGTCAATTAAACAGTTCAGAGAGAGTCCAGTTGAACATAATATTACTCTCTACCTCCTGTAACTTTTTCCATCCAGACACTAAAGTCAAAAAGAAGCATCTTACCTATATACCTCTGAATATTCTCAACTCCCAGATGGTAACATCAGCATTATTTTTTCTCAGAACCCAAAGCTGAAAATTCCTTTCTATTCCTGAGGCATTCATCTGTAGGATTAAAAAAAAAAATCTCCCTAGGTTTTCAGGCACCCCACTAGACCTGCTGTTCTCAAACAGAGCAGCAGGGAACCCTGTGTCAGTATCACCTTGAGATATTTTTCCAGTGAGGTCAGGCTAGCCCCCTCTCCCTGTGTTTTTGAGAACCGCTGTACTAGATAGTCACATAGTGGACTTGTCAACAGCAGAGACCGCTTCTAATTTAGCTTTAAATATCCAACCTCTAGTAAATATTAGAAGGATGGTAGATGGATGACCAAGTAGGGGAACGATAAAGGAATGAATGCATGAACTGTGATATATTTAGGAATTTCTGTTTCTCAGCCTGGTCTAAATGGTTGCTCTCCATCTGTCCCAGGTTATCGTCCACTGATTGGTACCAAAGCCTTTATTTTATTTATTTGTTTTTTTAAAGCAGGATTTATTGAGAGGACAGAAAAACTCCCACAGTGAGAGGGGACCCCAGGGGGTTGCCCTCAAAGCCTTTATAACACCTTCAGCTAAGTACAGTAAGTCCTCACTTATCCTCCTCAAGAAGTTCTTAGAAACTGTGACTTTAAGCAAAGCTGATACGAAACCAAATAAAACCAACTTTACTGCAGGCTGATTGATAGAGACCAGAGTTAAGTTTCTACAGCATAATTCTGGTCACGAAAACTTCACCAAACCTCTAAATAAAGATCAAAACACTTCTGATATTAAACACTGGAATAAATGTGAGCTAGACAAACACTTAAGAAAGATTAATGAAAACAAGTAAGATAATTTTTTTTTCCAGTTATTCCAGTTCAGAGTTACAGGTGGTTAGAGTTGACCCAGGCAGCCCTAGGCAGAGGGCAAGAATCAGCCTGGACAGAATGCCATCCCATTGCAGGGCTCACTCACACAACACACTCACTCACTCAGACTGGGACAGTGTAGACACAAGACATGCCAGTTCACCTCACATGCACATCTTTGGGATGTGGGAGGAAACCAGAGTGCTTGGAGAAAACCCATACAGATATGGGGAGAACATGCAAACTTCACGTGTTCCCGGACCTGGCCATGAATTGATTTTTTAAAAATTATTTGTTTCTCCTCAACATCAAAACGAAACAATGTAGAATGAAATGACATTATTTGAGGGCCTACTGTATACAATCTATGAACCATTAATGATAGCCCTTACTACTGCAATGTTATAAAAGCCATAACCATTGGTCCTTAAAACCTCCAATCATTTTAACAGTCATAACTACTAAACATAAAGTGAGTTCACCATTGAACCATGGTCACAGAAAATAGAAAGTTAGATTTGAACGGCATCTAGATTTTGATTGAATAACTTGGAAAATCACCAGTCTCCCCAGAAAATCAAAATATGCCTAGTCTTAAGTTTCCTTATTATTGAGATTCCCGAAGAGAATCTCGCTGTCCCATAGGAGTTTTGTACTCTGGACTATTGTCAAAGGCAACTGGACTGGAAGTCATGCTTTTTTTTTTTTTTTTTTTTGAGTTGGAGTCTCACTTCGTCACCCAGACTGGAGTGCAGTGGCCACTCCCAGCCATCGCAGCCTCGACCTGCTGGGCTCTGGCGATCCTTCCGCCTCAGCCTTCCAAGAAGCTGGAACTACAGGCACGTGCTACCACGCCCGGCTGATTTTTTGATTTATTATAGAGATGAGGTCTCACTGAGTTGCCCAGGTGGGTCTCGAACCCGCGGGCTCAGGCAATCCACTCACCTCAGCCTCCCGAAGCGCAGGATTACAGGCTGAGCCACGGAGCCCGGCAGGAAGTCATGCTTTTATACATTATTTTCACCATGGGCATTAATTGTGCACTGGAAAGGGAAGGAAGGCTCTACGTTGGGTTACGGAAAAACTTTGCCACTTTAAGTCTGCATGTAATCAGCTGACAGTTTTTCTCAGAAGCCACATCCAAGCCCATCACACACAGGGCCTTGGGCAAACCTTACTTCACTCATAATTGCAGACCTAAGTCTAAAGGCATGTCAAATATCAGACTGAGGCATATGGACTTGCCAACATTACATCTTTTAGATGACGATTTTGTAACTGATAGGAAGGACTTTGAAAGCACTTCTTAAATGTCTCATCCTGAGACCATTAGTAATGAGATAAGGGTCTAGGGTCCAAGATTCTTCTAGGTTTAGCGAAATTGAGGGACGGCCCTGGTTTTCTATACTTTTCCAGAGAAAGAAAACCTCTCTCAAATGCAGCCATTCTCAGAAATATTCTCACCTCTGTGTTGGGAACTCTTGGAGTTCCCAAATAGCATGATAGAATTGGAGGAAAATCAGGATAAAATGCAGAATGACTTTCTTCAGAAACACAGGCCCCTCCTGGAGATAGTTGCTTACTCTGTTGGGCTGCGCTGGACTGTTATCATTTGAGATCTAATAATAAATCTCAAGATGCTTGGAGTGTTCATTGTTGACTTTACCATCTGGGAGAATTGTATACATCACACAAACTCCCTATACAAGTTAATAATTACCCAATTCCTTAGGCAAGAGCATTCAGGAGTACATTCCTCAAAAAGTCCTAGATGAGTATTTTTTTTTTTTTTCCTGACTCTGTTTCTCTGTTTTGCTGAGTTCCTTTACTGAAAAGGCCTATTCCATTGGGGGAAAATGTAGATGATATATTTTTTTTAAGGAAAAAAGAAAGAAAAGGAGAGAGCAGACGCCTTTTGTTCACTAGGATGACAAATATGCTGAGAAATATTGGGAGTTAGTATGTAAAAATAACAAAAAACTTACGATTAATCTCATATTAAGATTCTGTATTTTTTTCTATTCATAACTAAATATGTGCTACTGTTATGTCATTGTTTCAATCAGATTCTTTTCTACAGAAAAGGCATACACCTGAGCAGACCCTGTTTCTCACTCGGCCTCAGGCTTTCTGGGAAACTTTCTCATCACCGCGGTAGTGACTTCAGATGAACTCAAAAGTGCCTCTGTGTCCTTTCTGAAGAACACAAGGGACTATGGGATGGAAAGAAATTGTCTGTGGTGGCAAAGACAGAGTTTCCATCCTTGCTTGACTCCTGTGAGACCTTAGACAAGTTACTCAAACTCTCTGAATCTCAGTTTACTGCCCTGTAATGTGTAGACAAGAGTGCCCCTCCTCCCATGGACCCTTTGTGCCTGTAAAGTTCATAGTGCACTGGTCTCTGCTGGAGAAACGTTGTGAATGTAACTCACCCAGCGGTACGCACACCGTTGTTGATCACGCTTTCCTTTCCTACAGCTGGGACATTTTCCTGATGATCATTGCTGGCATGAAGCTGCTGCGGACTTCGTTCTGCAACCCGGTTCACCAGTTCATTAACCTGAGCTTCACCGTCATCTTTTTCCAGTTTGACTACAGAGATATTTCAGAGAGTTTCTTACTGGATTTCTTCACGGTGTCCATTTTATTTAGCAAGGCAAGTGGCTTGGCTATTTTCTTCATTTCAGCACTTGAAGGGGGACGTTTCTCATCAATTGTTTTCAGAGTTTAAACTTTCTCTTTGGTAAAAACCATCATAGAAGGAAATGAAGTTGAATGACACATGTATGTCACTTTCCTGTTGCCATTTTTGGGAAAGTTCCCCAGGGAATATAAATATGCTGTGTCACTTGCTAAAAATCACTCATTAGAATAAATTAGTCATTAGTGTGCCTTGAAATTTTATTGTCTCTGTGAACAATCTCATTATAGAACTTTCCTATATCTTACAATGCTCTGAATTAAAAATTAGCAACTAGATTTATTTATTTACTTTGTTATTTATTTTGTCTCTTAAGACTGGTACCCTAGAGTAGGGTCTCTTAGAGTGTTTTTTTTTTTTTTTCCCCCTTTGGAGTGTTTTCAACTCTCTTAGCTTGTCTCAAGTTGAAACTTCATCTGTTGAGTAAATTTGTACATAGGCAAAGAGAAATCTTAATTGTAATTTAGGCAAATATGTGGGTCTGGTATCTAATGTTTAGTTAACCGTGAGGGAGATAAAATCCTCTGTGTACTGAGCAGTTCCTCCATATGCAGTCTGACCTCTGCGATAAAACCTAGGTTTGTAAGCAGCAATGGAAAGGAATTTGGAACAACTCCTGGAAAATATAGTGTCGGTACAACTGCTTCACATTGTGTCCACACTCATGCACTCAGTTTAATACCACAGACATGGGGTTTCTCCTTGAGATGGACTTCACCAACACCTCCCCCTTTTAGTTAATAATTTTTAAAATATCAAGGGTTTTTTTGCCCCCCAGAATTTTATTTATTTTTTTCCCTCTTAATGAATCAATCCTGTTCATCTTTATTTTCTCTCTGTTACTTATTTTTTCCATCTTCTGGCTTTCTCTTTGCTTCTTTTAGGAACAGAAATGGAAAATTCTCATATTATACTAAAGTCCTCTAAATAATTGCCATCTTCTCATCACTGCATGTGAGCCTCCCTTCCCCCCTCCCTCCTTCTCCCCCCTTCCCTGGTCCTTCCTTCCCTCCCCCCAACCCCCTCTCTCTCTCTTCTCTTTTTTTAAAAAAGAGACCAAGTCTCTCTCTGTAGCCCAGGCTGGGGCACAGTGGTGTAATCATAGTTCACTGTAGCCCCAAACTCCTGGGCTGAAGCGATCCTCCTGCCTCAGCCTCCTGAGTAACTGGGACTACTGATGTGAATCACCATGTCTGGATAATTATTTTAGGTTTTTTGTTTGTTTGTTTGTTTTTTGATAGAGATGAAGTCTTGCTATGTTGTCTAGGTTGATCTTGAACTCCTGGCTTTAAGTGATTTTCCTGCCTCAGCCTCCCAAAATGTTAGGATTACAGGCATGAGCCACCACACCCAGCCTCAAATTTGCTCTTCTAACTTTTGCTGAATGCTCATTTTCCACCACCTGAATCCCTCTTTGTGTTATCTGCCATTGTCTACTCACTATTACTTCTGGAGCCTGCCTCGATTTCCATATTTTATTCTAGACCCTGGCCTTGGTCAAGCATTTATTTCCTGTTTGTATAAGCTCTGTTTAGTTCTGATTACTTCATCCTATTTTTCTGACTGTTCAAATCATAAGCTTTCATATTCTATTTTCCTTCATTATGTATAAAGTCTCATTATCTCACATAATAAATGTAAAATTATATCTTATGATCTTTAAGGCATTTATTAAGTTATTAGAAATGATTTCACTGCTTACAGGGCTAAGAGCTTATCGTTAGATGTAAAATGTGCCAGGATCAGTTCAGTTTCTGATTCGGGCATTATTTATGTTTCAGCATAGTTACATTTATATTCCTTTCTCAACTTCAGTTTCATGTAAAATAGAAAATAATGATGCCAGCGTCACCTGGGTGTTGAGAGGATTAATTAATATAACTATAAAAGGAGTTACTAAGTAGAACATGCTCTCCAAATGTAAATAGTGTTTTTGAAGCCACATGCAAGTAGAAAAGAGAAGTGACACATTGTGTTTGTGAAGATGTGCAGCAGTTTTCCATACTGACCTGTCAGTTTAATATCATTTTGTGTAAGTGAATGGCCCCATGAACAGAAAGCATGACAGAGAGGCATGAGGTGTCTCCGTGAGAGTGTTAATGTGTGGCTGGATGCGTATGTCTGGCTCAAGGGGCTTGGGAGGCATGGGAAAACAAAGTGTGCATGACTGTTGTCCATTCTTGTCTGTGATGACACTTAGTGTCACCCTGTGCAGACCGAGGAGGGTAGACTTTGACGAGACTGCCAGCCCTGGTGAAAAACCAAACCCAGAAAAGCTTAGCTGCTGCAGGCATTTGCCTTTCACATTGCCATAATCTTTTGGAAGCACCAATTAAAATACCGAAATTTCAGACAGAGTCAGAGTGGAAGCTTTCTTATTTTCTCTAACTGAGGGAGCATTGGCACATATACTTTGAGTAATCAACTTTTAGGCTGGGATAATGGTGAGTGTACAATGAAAGAAAACGAGAAAAGCAAGTGAGACAACAGTTAGACTAGGACTACTGTGTGGTAAGTTGGAAAGTTGGGGTTCGGGTCTCTGAGTCCCGGCCTGTCTTGACTCCCCTGCTGCCCGCGACAGTGAGTTTTCTGGAGTGAGAAATAAGATCTTATTCCCTGAAAAATGTATATATAACTAAAGAAAGAGACAGCATTTGTAATCTTCCTGGAAAATAGCCAATGGATGTTAGTGACAGAAGATGGCTGTGGCCAGAAGCAGCCCAGAGTTAGTGTCTCTTAGAGAGCTTCTGCCTGCACATCCCACGTGATTGATTCCTCTTCATTCTCCTCCTCTTTTTTTAAAAATTGTCTCTTTGGATGTATTTCCTAGTGACTTTTTTTTTTAATTGCCCCTTTCAATGTATTTCCTAGAGGCTTTCTTTTTTTTTTTTTCTTTTTTGAGTTGGAGTCTCACTCCTTCACCCAGGCTGGAGTGCGGTGGACGCTCCTGGCCACTGCAGCCTCGACCTGCTGGGCTCCGGCGATCCTTCTGCCTCAGCCTTCCAAGTAGGCAGAACTACAGGTGCGTGCTACCACACCCGGCTAATTTTTTTGTTTTATTTTATTGTAGAGATGAGGTCTCGCCAAGCTGCCCAGGTGGGTCTTGAACCCGCAGGCTCAGGCAATTCACTCACCTCGGCCTCCCAAAGTGCAGCGATGACAGGCTGAGCCACCGAGCCCAGCCCCTAGAGACTTTCTAAAACTCTCCGACATTGTATTTACAGGCAATTCTGCTCTCTAGGGCTAGTCATTGCACGATGCGAAATGCAATTTGTCCAGTAAACTCCCCAGAGTCCTGCTTGTGGCAGTCCTCTCATCTGACCACTACAGATGTCCCTCAGCCCTTTCTTCTCTTAGCCCTGCCCCTTTTCTGCGAAGTAGAGAGTCCTTGTTAGCCTGGCAGCCCACCTCACAGAAGGGCTGCAAGATTAACGAAGAGATGTTTAGATGGGCATCCAGTTTCCTTGAAAGAAAAGAGCTGCGCAAATATAGGGCACCGTATTGTCAAGAGTCAGTTGTCCCTAAACCTTCGGGGTTTATGGGTAGAAAGGAAGGAGAGAAGGGATGAGTAAGAGGTCTACAAAGTGAGATCAAAGCACCAGGAGGCCGGGAAAGGAAATCGATGGCTTCTGGCTGCATACTATTCTCTGTCTCCTTGAATCCCAGAATCCCCCTGGGGTCTGGAGAATGAATTTTCCTTGTCTCCTCAGTCTACCAGACCTGGTGAAAAATGAGTTCCAGGGCTGTAGTCCATGGGGATAGATGAAGTACAGCCTGTGCATTGACTTGGTGGGGGGGACACTTTAGAGTAGATGGTGCCTTGGGCTTGCGTGTGTGTGTAGGGGGGCGGGGGGCTGGGTGGGTTTAAGGGACAGAGGGAAGGAAGGGCACCTGCATGACCCGTCCTGAGATGTGTGGCCCTCCAGCCCCACACCTCATAAGGCGCACCGCCGTTGAGAAATCAGACCTGTCCATCTTCCTCAGTTCCTCACTCCCTCAGTCCCTTCTCTCTCTGTCTGTCTCTTTCTCTCTCTCTCTGTCTCTCTGTGTCTGTCTGTCTCCCTCTCTTTCTATCTGTCTCTCTATGTCTGTCTCTCTCTCTTTCTGTTGTTCTCTCTCTCCTGCCCTTTCAGTTGTACCTTTAAGAACTCATGTAGTTCATTGAAGACATTCTGGTATGTCTAGGTATATGGGGACAGTCAGACGTGTGTAGATGAGTGTATTTGGTTGCAAATAATATTTGATTGTAACAGAAGCAAAAATGACAAAGGCCCCTTCTTGCTTGTCATTGGCCCTGGAAAAGTTCTTAGAAACCATCCTGTCTTTAAAATCTTAGTAGCTTTTTGTTGTTAGAAGATGCAGAAGCAGGACTTGAGATAATCCTGCCGTAAGATAATTCTGCCCACATTTTCAGAACACATTAGACATGGAATTCCATAGGCCATTAGTTCAACATGGGGCTAGCACTTTTGCCACTTTGGAAATTCAAATCAATGGTTGAGCTTATTTTATGATAAAGCTGTGTGAATAATCACACCGGATCCCTACCATGTGGCTGTATTATGGATGATGGTAATGAACGTTCCAGTTATTCGAAATTGGAGTTTCTAAATGAGTGCAAATGGGAAGTCTCAGATTAAAATCGAATCCCTTTTCTAGAATGCGCACTTTCACAGACGTATTTGCTCAGAATACTCTGTTCAAAAAGCAATTTTTCATTCACTGGGCATTTAGTGGGTACCTGACAGACATGTAGTAGGTACAAAGATTGCCAGTCATGCAAATGATAGCAAATCTTTATTTGATGCCTTCTGTGGGACAGGCACCCACCTGAACACTTTGCGCATGTTAGCTTAACGTAAGCTTCACAACAACTTTGGGTGTGGGTACTACTCATTTTACAGGTGCGGAAACTGAGGCACCGAAATTAAGGGAATCGTCATAAAGTCTCACAG